TTTTATTATAAAATGTTGATATGCGCCCCGCCGATCACTATTAAAATCCTTTCCTTCTTAAAAGGATCACGAATTAACAAATTAACTCTGAAAGCAACAAAAATAACAACCAAAATATTTATTATTTTAGTATGTATGCTAAAATATCTGACAATTATTCATTTTCATTCTAGAAAATATATTTTGTGATAAATTTCTGACCATTTCACAATCCAGCAACTCTGAGAATTCTTCGTCTTGCTTGAACTTAAGATCATCAACTTCGCTTCTTGCATATACCAGAAGCTCTTGAGTAGTCATATAATTCTAAAACAATTATGATCAATTTATATGGCGAAGAAACAAAAGTAAAATACACATGATAATATAAATAAAGCATCATGATGCTATACCTCAAGATCTTTTTGAACAGCCTTCTCGATAGATTTTTTCAATGATTCAGACAATTTGTCATTAGCAAGTTGAGCTAAAAGGGTGGCAGATTTTTCAAAGACAGTACTATTCTGTCGGATGATTATATTTAGTGTTTCCATATAGGAGAGCACAAGTTCTTTGCCACCTTGAAGTTTTGTTTGTTTCATCAGTGCTATTGATTCAACGATCTTGTGTTGATGATTCATCTCGGCTTTTTTAACTTCTAGTTCATATTCACGCTTATGAGCTTCGTATTTGAGTTCTGACTCCTGTTTTTTATTCAAAGGAGCTTTGCTTATGTCGTTACCCATAACTTGGAATGTCTACAAAAAAAAAAAATTGTATAGAATTTATCACTTGTAATTCGTAATCAAGTTTAAAAATGAAACAGAAGCAATAGATACTACTCACTGAAATAAAATTTTATAAAACTGGAATTGATATATTCGATAATTTTGACAATATTTGAATTTCAAATAATCCACCGTTTATAACCACAATCTATTATTACCATTGTTACCAAGTAAGGTAATTCCCTATAAGCGTTTTTCATTAGATAGAAAAGTCATGGAATAATTTTACTGTATATTATTAATATTCATTTTTTCAAGTTTTTAATAAGAGTAGAAAACCGATTGATCATAGCAACGGCATTAAAATACATGATATGATCAATAAAATATAATTAATAAAAAAGAGTAAAGCATAATTAGCACTAGAGGTTAGAACCGGTTTGGGTACAATCGACTTAAAACCGGTTGCAACTGGTTCCTATTTTTCATATTCGATAAACCGAATATAATAAAACCGGTTTTATTATTAAACTTTATGTAAAGAGACTCGCTTCATATAAAATTCCATATTAATATACTATTATTATGGCAAGTAATGCTGAATACTTGCATGTAATTATTATGCTATAATTAATAGACATGTATATAAGCAACAAGTTTTGACTTGGAAAACAAATAATTAAATAACTTTTGCTTTCATTTGATATATATTCCCCACAAAATTACAACCGGTTTTGCGGTTTTATTTATAACCGGTTTTATTATTATTATATTCGGTTTAAAACCGGTTCTATTTTAAACCGGTCCTTAAAAATAAAACCGGTTCCAACCTCTAATTAGCACACGATGACGAAATAGTTAGTTTCGATTTCAACATTTTGAATTAAAAATTTTAAAATTTCGACTAAAATCGAAATCCAAAATCGAAACCGTATAATGATAAAAATTAATCAAATAAACATTTTGCCTTTTAAAAACATAATGCAAATTTTTCTTTAGATGTATAAGGCGAATAAAAACTAGGAGATGTGAAGGAGCTATTTGACAATTTAGGAAAAAAAAAAGTCGTTTATAGTTTTTTATAAGTTTAGATAAATTTCGAGTTGTAGAATTATAACATAGAATTTAAAAAGGTATTTATTATCAATCTAAACATATCCAACGGGACATTTGCAATTTAGTTGGATGTTGAATGAAATGAGCAAACATTTATTTCAAATATGCAAAATACATTGTATCTTTCACATCACAGGGAAAGCGTCAGTCTTAAAATTGGTTTTTCATATGTCAATAAAATTATGTCTACCATAATGTTGCATGACGAAACTTTCGACTTTAGTCATTGACGTGACGAAAGTGTTGGCTAAAGTAGTTTCTCACCAAGAGGCATTTTGGCGATTTGACGAAAGTAAAAATAATTGACGAAAGTAAAAATAGTTAACAAAAATAAAAAATCAATTCTTTTGTTTTGCAACTAGAGTAACGAATGTTTATTTATTATTTAACAATCATCATATAATCATAAAAAAGAAATTTACTTTCTCTTTAATTACTGGCATTTAATATTATTTAAGGTTTTATATGTATAAAATTTATTATTATTTATTATTTACTAAATCCGATTTTCAAAAAGATATTGAAAATTCATTATTACAATACATTGTTAAAATTAGTTTTTTTTTTGATTTTTTGATATTGGATATTAATAAATTTAACAAAGGTAATATTCTTTTTTTTTTGTATTATTAAATGTTTTACTGCTACTTTTTCTTTTATCATTTTTTTTTTTTTTTGACTCAATTCTTACATTAAAACAACATAATTTACATAGAAGAAATGTTTACAATGAAGTTGTAAAAAATAAAACAACAAAAATATGAATAATTATAGTCAAAAATTTTACTTTAATTACAAATTTTTTTTTTGTTTTGCAAAGATTTTAGCTTTCGCCAAGGGTTTTTACTTTCGTCATGGGTTTAGTCTTTCGTCATTTTTTATTACATTTGATGAAATAGTTTCTCAACTCCAAAAACATTTCGTCATGCATCATTAGTCTACCACTCTGTTCAACTGGAGAGTCAATTTGTTAAATTATCAATGGGCAGACTAGATAGGTGATTAAGGCTGATTTTCGACTTGAGCTAAGGCGATTCCTCTTCGATAATTAGTGATCGTATATATAACCTTTATCAAAAGTAAAACATCTAGGATACTCCGATTCCTAAATACTCAATGTACATACCTTGTTTACCTGATACAGTAACGTTTCTATAATGCAGAATATTTCCTTATCTTCCCGATGCAGAAGTTATTTTAGGTTTCAACAATTCTAGAAACTAACGCCCTCGCGATAACGTAATTAATTTCAATTTCGATTTGAAAACTAGTGCCTTTTTCGAAAGTTTCGATTGAATTTCGCCATAGTAATAGCAAATATCAACTTTCTCAATTTCCAACCAAACTTAATTTAGTGGACAATAAAAAAGATCTTGCGAACCAGTATTTTCAAATGACTTTGATTGTTCGCATGTTAAAACTCTAATTAGGCGTTAAGCATTAGTAGTAATAATTATTATTTCGAACTTTTTTACCTGGAATAACATGTGGTAAAATCTGTGGTCTACATTTATCCCCAATGACTTTTTGGCAGGTTGTAATGGAATAAACATAAAAAATAGCCCACATTTCAAAAGAAAATGAAGGCCCAAAAGTCAACTGGATTATAGAAGAATTGAATAATCATTGAATTGTTTACTTTTCTTCCAACACATAAAGGGAAAAACTGATATTTCATTCTTGATAAATTTAAAACTAGTAATTAATTAAATCAGCATTTCTTGTATATATATATGACGTGAATATTAGTGATGAAACAGGTTTTGAACAACAGGTTGTACGTGGTATGTTTATTAATTTGTAATTTTTGACGATATATAAATGACCAATGTGATTTTTTTGGTGTTTAATAAATCATAATAATAAAAATGGAAGAATTCGAACATTTAAATATAAATGGAGATAGAAATCAATACAGGAATAATAATAGTGTCGATATAATAACAATATTATTATTTGGCAATTCAGGAAGTGGAAAATCAACATTAGCTAATGTAATCAGTAATTCTAAAGATTATGACGCAAGTCATTCTTCAATTAGCTCGACCAAATATGTTCATACTCGTAATTATGCAATTGATGGGAAAGTATACAAAATAATTGATACAGTAGGAATTAGAGATACTGGAATGACACTAAGGGATATGATGTCTAAATTAGTCTTCGCTGCCGAAACTGCTAAATGTGGAGTAAACCAAGTCTTATTTGTTACAAATGGAAATTTTAGTAATAAAGAAATTGAAACTTTGGAGTTATTACAATCAATTGCTTTTGATAAAAGTATTTTTAAATATACAACTATTGTTAGGACGAATTTCCATAATTTTGAAGATGATGTTGAGTGTGAAAAAAACTATCAAGACATGATTTCTGAAGATGATAAAATTTCTCTATTTGTTAAATCATGCAAAAATGTTATTCATATAGATAACCCACCAATAACACATCGCACTAGACAAGTTGCAGGAGAGATACGAGAAGAATCAAGAAGAAAAATATTAAGTTACTTGCATACTTGCACAGAAATTTATATGCCAAAAAACCTACAGGAAATTATTGATGCAAAGATAAAAAATTATATGACAGAAAAAGAAAAATTACTGAAAGAAATAAGTGATTTGAAACGACAAATGAATGAGGAGAAGAAATCAGAAAATGGTTGTATTATTTTATAAAATTTTAATTAACACACTTGTTAGTTATATTACAATTATTTTTTAAAATCATGTCTTTATAATTTTATTCTAAATAAAGAAATAACGAGTAAAGACTGTTTTGCATTCTGCAAAATTCGACTGATTTTTTTTCTAGAGTAATATCCCAAAGATCATTTCCACATTTCCAATTGGAAAGTTTATTTTTTAAAGGAAACTTTACATATCAATACTAATATTAATATTAAAAGTTATTGTTCGAAAACCATTTAAGAGACCGTCTCATATTGATGTTAAAAAAATTAAATAGAAACAAGTTAGCGTTGTTTAAATGAAAACGGTTCTTAAATAACCGGGTTGAACTTGAATTTTTCCTTGTAGTATTTGTAATCAACAATATACTATATATATATGTATATGTATATGTATTTAATTTTCTAATTTGGAAATATTATCAAAAAAAAATGATAAACGAAACTTTTGAAAATATAAAATCATCATCAAGCAAAATTGAAATTGAAGAACCTTTAATTTCAAATCAAAAAACTGAAAATAATGATGCATTATCAAACACAGTTAAACATGAAGTAAATGGAAAAGCTGAAACTGATGGCGCATTATCAAACATGTTTAAACCCGAAGCATCTTCGAATGCAAATGAAGGAGTTGGAACCATAACAATATTGTTATTTGGTAGGATAGGAAGTGGAAAAACGACTTTAGCTGATGTAATCGAGGATGCTAACAATACAAAAGAAAGATCATGTAAATATGAAATAATTGATACGGTGGGAATTGGTGATAGAAAATTAACTACTCAAGAAATATTATATCAATTTGTAAGAAATATTGATGATATTAAAGGCGGATTTAACCAAATTTTATTCGTTACTAATGGAAGATTTAAGGAAGAGGAAATAGATGCTTATGATTTATTACAATCAGTTATTTTTGATCAAGATATTGTCAATTTTACAACCATAGTCAGAACCAATTTTCCCGATTTTGAAAATGGAGATGTGTGTGATAAGGATCGTTCAAATATGATTAACGAAAATAATAAACTTTCTGCAATAATTAAAAAATGTAAAATGGTTATTCATGTGGATAATCCACCAATAACACATCGTACTAAACAAGTTGCAGAAGAAATTCGTGAAGAATCAAGAAAAAAAATATTAAATCACTTGGATACTTGTAAAAGCATTTATAAACCACCTAGTCTAGATGAATTGAATAATAGAATAAAAGCTTACATAGATTACATGATAGACATCGAAAAATTAGGAAGAAAAGATAAAGGTATACTCCGTAAAATACTAGGAATGTTTATCTCTTCATTTACTAAGAGCTACGAGGTTTCTAAAAATCTTATCAGTGGGACTTAGAGTTTATAGCAGAATCCTAATTAATTTTAATTCAATTATATTTTTTATCAAAATTAATTAATGGTTTTGATTAATGCGTTTATCATGTCTCATATATCGGAATTTATGTGATTTTTTTATATTAATATTAATATTAACAAAATAGATCTTCAGGTAAAAATTAAGGATTAAGGATTAATGAATGAATGAATTACTATTTAAAATTAAAATATTTTTTTGCGAAGGAATTTTTTGTAAAGTTTGGGTGTTGAATTGAAAAAAGAAAATTATCGTTTTCTTGTAGCATCAGCATAATTGTCACGCAAATGGGATTTTTTTTATAACTATATAATAAAAATATTTATCTATATACGGTATATATTAAATAAATAATGCCAATGAAGAAGTTTCAAACTTATCCATTTATATATATGTTTATTGGTCTATAATATTCCGACAAAATTTGTGCGACTTTGTGTTTCCTGATAGCGAATTCACTATTACTATTGATAGTAACTTTTATTAGTATTAGTAATTAGTATAAGGCATCTGCTAATATTATGGGCTACAATATATCAAAATAAAGAATAATTTTCAAATTTACATACAGTATGTATGTAAATTGTTTTATTGAAACTTTTCAACAAAATATTCTCTTGGCTCAAAGGTTCATCCCAAAAAGCACTTCCAGATAAAAAACTTCTTCTGAATGGGTTTGCCAACCATTAATAAAATCAATAAATGATGACTATATAAATATAGCATAGTCACTGTTGCAGATCACAAAAAAATGATCAACATAACATATGTTATGGTGAAAGTTTTTGCAAAAGTTTGATTATAAAAGTGTGAGATAATTTTGATCTTGCTGATGATCTGGACTTAGAGAGGCTACAGCTATATACTAGTGAAGTTTCAGAAGCAACGGACTCTGTGTAACCGCCTGCATATTATACAAATGACTGTTGCACAAAACGAGTGTCCATTATGCTATATTTATAAGTATAAATATACATATTATTGATATTAAATTTTCAAAATAAATTTTGAAAATTAAAAAATTTTTTTATTAGAAATTTTTTATTATATTTTCTTAATTTTTATTATAAAATTGTCTTTAATTTTCAAAATTTTTTTATTCCTCCTTTCTCAATAAAAATTTTACTGTTGTAAAAAGTCATAATGGGCCTGACCAAAGTTAAGTTTAATATATTAATATTAACATATACTGTACTGTAACGGAATTAAATTATACCATTGATTAACTTTATATTATTATAAAAGGACCGGGAAAACTCCATTGTATGTTACCGCTAAATTAAATGACAAATTAATATTAATATTAATATTAATGCGAATCTTAGTTTTTATAATTATGCAAATCGATTTTCCAATGTTGTTGTTGTTTGAAACTTTAAAAGCAAATAACTCTAAATTTTATTATGCGAAGTGGATATAGTTTCTAAGCCAGAAATGTTCTACATAATGATAAGAAATTACATATAAGGGGTATATATTTAAATCAAAATTTCTTTCTGGACATTGCAGATCAAATGTCATTCAATATAAACGTTACACAAATAAAATTATTATCGTCCACTTCAAAAAAAAAATCACCGTTTTTCATATGGCAAGTGGTTTTCAACCATAATAAAATTTTTAGAGCCAGGCTAGAACTTTCTAACGACCATCAAAAGAAAAGGTTAGCTTAAATATTGGTTATTCTATGCTGGGTCAGAAGTGTTTCTTTTCTTCACACTTATTTTAAGACTTTCTTCCGGACTAAAACAAATTCAGCGGCAACAATTGTGCTAAAGTGTTCCCTACAAAGTCACTTATAACTACTTGAAAGGTTGTGTTAGAAAAATTTTGACTTTAATTATAAGAGAC